TATAACTTGAATTAAGAAATTAAACAAGGTAACTGTGTAGGGCAAGCAAGCTACTGCCAAACCAACAGGGGCAGGTTTATGCAGGAAGCACAGCTTTTCCAAATGTAAACATCTAAAATGAATAAATAATAATGAATAATATTTTTTCACAAATTCTGTGTTGTGTATTTTCTGGTAATCAAATGAACATGCAGAAATTCGTATTTAAATAAGTCTTTTTGCAGTTTAATATTCACATACACAGTCTATATATACTGTATGTACTGACCTGTTTTTTATTCATTCATCAAAAATAAGAATTCCATGAAATTCCGCAATATACAGTAAATTCCATGTTTTCTGCATCACGGAAATCATAGGGCCCTACTAATGTAGCAAACGAATTTGATAAGCTCATTGTAAGAGTAAAAGACGGGGACGTTGTTTATTTACTTAGCATTGAGTCTCTCCAACTAGGTGACACCGTAGCGTTAAATCACAATTCAACAGACTCAAGCCACCACCGCACTGCCGTCTATTGGACTGCAGAAAGATACTAACTTTTCAATCTGCTACGTTACTGACTGTACTGACAAACTATGCTGACACCGTGTCTGCGCCGTAATGGGTTCTATTCTACACCGGACAAATTTCGGGAGGAGCACGCGCAGATAATTAACACAGCCAATCCCTCATCAGTAATTACATCATCTATCCAACCAGCACAAGAGAGAACCCCTGTAAATAATCAAAGCAGTCTTACCTTCATTATCTCTAGTCTTTCAGCATACCTCCACCACCCCGACTCCTCACCTTCAGCCCGTTCTTACCCCAGCACGGGTAGGAGCACTTGGGGGGAGCGCTCTGGGTCCAGGCTAAAAGCCGAGCTCGGACCCCTCTCCCCGGACAGGGGGAGTACCCCGGGCTCGAGAGTAATTACCGAGCTTGGAGCCTGGAGCCCTCTCCCCAGACAGCACGCCAAATACGCATAACCTTTACTCAGTTTATTATATGTAAGTGTAAACTCGTGAATGTATTTTGTCGCGCCGCGCTGCGCGATGTGATAAGCATGAATTCTGGGCTGCGGCGCGGCTGGTATAAACACCAGCATTGACTGAGTGGCCCCGATCAGCTCCGGTGGCCGTAACACATGCTTTAATGCACCGCAGACGCGTGGCGTGATGTGCAGATCAGCTCTAGTCTCTAACGTCACTGAATCTGCCGTTAAAAATGAACCATCCATTCATCATAACATCATGCAAAACTAAGAATTATAATTATTGTAACGTGACGATCAAATATAGGTGCGGGTGGGTGACGGGTGGATCATTTGAAGCAGCGGACTCGGGTGAAGTTTGAGCTCATCCGCGCATTTCTACACTACACTGACCTGGGTCACCAGTAGCAAACAATGGAGCGCGCTCTGCTGGACAAACTAAGTAATTACACCATTCAGAACTTAGAAGCATTTAATGTGCGTTATATGTTCTGTAAAAAAAAAATTTTAATATCGGCGGCATATTCGCTGATACGATATATCTGCGACAGGCTCATATCGGCCGATAATATCGGCAAACCGATATGTCGGTCGGGCTCTAGTTATAATATATATAAAAAAACATTAAATAATGCATTTAAAAATGATATAATTAAAATTAGAAAATGAATGTCAAATTATGAATTTATTCAGAACTTAGAAGCATTTAATGTGCGTTATATGTTCAGTAAAAAAATAATTTTAATATCGGCGGCATATTCGCTGATACGATATATCTGCTACAGGCTCATATCGGCCGATAATATCGGCAAACCGATATGTCGGTCGGGCTCTAGTAACTATGTTATTTGTCATAGTTTACTCTCTCCTTGACCCCTTGAATTAAACAGTTTTTCTTGCCGCACAGTTTGAAAAAAAAAAGTTTAGTTTCAATATGTGGTCTTTTTGGACTAGAGTGGAAGTTTGAAGAGTGAAAGAAATATTTACATTGTACATTAAACTCTTTTATTTCTAAAGTTAAAGGATAATTTGCCCTTTTGAGATAAAAACTTTTAAAATGAACAGGTATTTGTACATCAAGTTCACATTCTTAAACTTTTTTCCAAATTATTCATCCATTCAGTGGCTCTGTAAAAAGGCAGAACAAAAACACAATGTCATTGTTTACCTCACAAAGCAAAATATTCCTGAAATTTCCTGTGTGGGTTAACTCTGTTTTTCCTCTCGCTGTCCTGCAGACTCCCCTGGTCAGCTCTTGTCGTCTCCTCTGAGCTCCTCCACGGGTCACCGAGGCATCAGTAACCATCCTCTCCACCCGCCCCTGCTCAGCCCGTCCGCCATGAACTCCAGCCCGGGTCAGCTGCACTCTCCCATCAGCACCCTCAGCTCGCCCATCAACGGCCTGCCCTCGCCGTTCCCCATCATCAACTCACCCATGGGCCACCCCTCCATGAGTGGCCTGGCCTCCACTAGCATGACCTTCAGACCCAGCCTGAGCCCACAGGTAAGATGTCACTGCATTTACTCTGGACTTATTTAACAGCTTCATTATGAATTGCTGTGGGCAGCAGCACCGAGTCCTATTGCAGATTTATTCAGAGGCTTGCAGCTGATCAATATTTTTTTCTCGGGTGTGCTCGGGCTGAACTTGAACTGAATTTTCCTATTGAATTGGCTAAACTTGACCTGAACTCTGCTGGAAGTTAAAGATCTATTTTAAAGAGTCTGATTGCTCAAATGAGTTTGATTGCATAAGTACGTGATGCACAAAATCACACAGACGGACACAAACATTTATTCGAATCATTACCTCTATTATTTAATCAATCAGACAATTTAGTAGGGTTTTGAAAAATTGCTTTTAATGGGCTTTTCTTGCTACAATGGGACATGATCATCTGCTTGTTCATTGCAAATGTAATTGATTTGGCAGTAGTGGAGAAGGCTGTCTCCATAACTCAGAGCTCAAAAAGCTCTGCTAAAATTTCTCAGCGGTGAAAAATGCCAGCAATTATAAAGTTTGGACATTCAAGGTCTTTGGAAATGCATAAATAGTTTCATTGCATTTTCCATATGGCGCATACATGCATACACACTCTTTACCTCATTAATTTTAGCAGTCAGAGTTTAGTGATGTTTTGAAAAATCACAGCAAATGAGCTTGTCTCGCACACTGCAGCCTTCTGCTTATTCACAGAAAATCTAATCAATTCAGCATCAGTGCTATTGGCTTTATGATTGGGTTTTATTTAATAACACATAGCTTAAAAGGCTCTGCTGAAGCAGCGTTTCATTGGTGGAAAATGCAGCTAGTTTTAAAATTTTGTGGTGTTATTGGATTTCTGTTAAATCCCTCTCAATATGAGCTGGGTTTTATGAGAAATCATACAAGAAATATTACAGTTTCCAAGTGATGTAATTCCACTTTTTTTTTTTTATTGTCTACATTTGGTTTCCAGGAAACTAGCTTGGTTTAATCTGTTATATTTCAGCATATCTGTAGGTGGTTCAGGTTTTTTGTTGTTGTTGTTGTTTTTTTACTTTTCAAGGGTACATAGATGAGAAATAAACAGATAAACACTTAAAGTAGGAATTTGTGCTCAAGTATTTAGGGAAGAACTTTCTTTTGTACGGTTGAGTAAAATGAAAAAATGATTAGAATGCAGGTGGAATTATTTCTGATCGTGTTTTTTGTAACATGTAGCTTCGTCAAAAATAAACTTCATGCTGGATTTTAATAGTTGAAGAATATACAAGGAAACATAAAGATTATTAAATTTAAATGTTAAATTTAAAATGACTTTTTAAGATTTGAACACCAAACCTGGTGGTTTTGTACTTTACAGAACTTTGCATACTCTCATTAACTACAGCGGGAAAAAATCTAATAAAAAATTATCTAACTATCTAATATCGATACTCAAAGGTTTGATTTTAGAAGAATTATGGAAAGATAATTCTGAATGTTTGAGTGTTTGTATGTTTTTCTTTTAGCATAAATATTTCCTGTTTTACCTTTTTATAGAATATGTCACATCATATTACATTTTTGGTTGCTTGTCTTTGAGGTTAAATACAAGAAAGTAAATTAAATACTTTTCATAGTAGCCAGTTGTCATTTGATGACAATATTTTGGCAGTGTAAAGTGAGGAACATCAGGGAATGTTTTATAGCAATGATAATATAATTGACTGAACAAATGTTTTGAACACTGAATTTTTTCATTGCACTGGAGTTGTAGAAACGCTTTATTTGAGTGTGTTTGAATTACAAATGTAATCATTAACGTATAACTTTAAATCTGAATAGATAAGCAAGATGGATTTGAGTCAGACTTTGGCACAGTGAAATCACTGAGTGCCTGCCAGAGTCATTGGAGAATCAGTAAAACCATTTAGTGTAACTCAAGTCATACCAAATAACAGCCTTTTATAAATTCATTTGAAGACCGTGGGGTTTTATCAGACACCAGATGGTATATGAGAACTGAAATCCCTGCAATAAAGTTTAAGATAAACCACACGCTATACTCGTTATGAACATTTTTTCCCTCATATTGCCTCCCTCCCACTACCAAGTGTTCAGTCGTTGCTGTTGTACCCTGAAATGGAAACAAGTTCCCATTAACAACAAGTTTGGGTTGGCATAAACATAACGGACTTAATTTTTTCTTCCCTCACCTAAGTTTCATGTCAGACAGCTTTAATTTGGCTACTAAATGGAGAAGGGGGAGTTTCACATTAATGGTGTTGCCTTAAGTAATGGTGTATGGGCTTAAGGAGAGGCGTCTTGGAAGGGCCCTGGCCCCCATTCATCCTCATTAGCCCCGTCAGAGTGCTTGATCTCTGACCGCATGGTGTCAAACACGGCCTTAGTGTGCCACATGGGCTTTCTACTTTTTATTGGCATGCTAAATGGGTTCAGAAGAGGCCCGGTTGGGGATTGGTCAGGGCCCAATCGCACAGGAAATGAGCTGGCTTGTTAAAAACTGCAGCTTAGCCATGTGGTGTGTGTCAGAATGAAGCCAGTTGACTCTCCTCATACGCACAGACAGATACACAAAAAAACAGTTAGCTTCTACTTTTGTCCATGTACACTACTGTTCAAAAGTTTGGGATCAGTAAGATTTAATTGTTTTTGAAAGAAGACTCTTATGTTCACCAATGCTGTTTGTTTATTTTTATTATTACGAGTAAGTATTATTACGATTTAAAGTTTTGTTTTGTTTTGTTTTTTTTAAGTACAGTTTTCTGTTTTAATATACTACATTTTTAAATGTTAAGAAGTCATAAGAAGTCTCTTATGTTCACCAAGGCTGCATTTTCTTTTTATCAAAAACATAGTTGCAATAATATTATAGCAATTGAAAATAACAATTATGCAATATATATTAAAATGTAATTTATTCTTGTGATGTAAAATTTTCAGCATCATTACTCCTGTCTTCAGTTCTAATATGCTGATTTGGTGCTCTAGAAACATTTCTTATTATTATCAATGTTGAAAATTAGTTGAACTGCTTATTATTTTGGTTGAAACTGATACTTTTTTTTTTCAGGATTAGAAAAAAATTGAATGTTCAAAAAAACTATTTATGTGAAATAGAAGTCTTTTGTAACAGCCTACGTTTCTTTACTTACATTTTGGATCAATTCAGTGCATCCTTGCTGAATAAAAGTATTAATTTCATTTAAAAAAATATATATATAATATATATATATATATGTATGTGTGTGTGTGTGTGTGTATATATATATATATGTATATATATACTGTTTGTATATATAATAAAAATCATAGTGGTCCCAAAATTCTGAACAGTAGTGTACCACCTAGTTATATAGAGGATTTGAAGAAACGCTCATACTTTCAGGTTCAGGATTGCAACAAATATAGTTCACATTTTCACTCACATTTTCTTTGGGAAATAAAAACCCTTTTGCTTAAAATCCTATCTCAAATGTTAATATATTAAATCTCCCATAATTGCTTAAGACAAATATTCATGCATCATATAGACATAGGCGCGGGAAGTGGGGGTGCTGAGGGTGCTGCAGCACCCCCTGTTTTTTTCTGTGGGCAACTGTTTAACTGTTGGGAATTTTAAAAAAATCGGAGTGTCTATTTACACTAAGTGCAAATAGCCTGCCTTGTTGGCAGAGGCTATTTACACTAACTCCACCCACCAACGTGTGATTGGGATAGTCAACATTACAAAAGACGGTCATTAATTGTCAGATTCAGTGGCGTAGATGGTAAAGAGTGTGTCATAATTCTTTTGACGCGATCGACCCGGGTTCGAATCTGCCTTTTGGCGAACTTTTTTTCTCCCGTTTCAAATTCCAAATCACATCAGAAAAGCATTTATTTTTAAGAAAAATGAGGGGAAATAATCAAAAAGTTGAAAATAAAGTATCGTGTAGGGAGGGCATCCATTTAATAATTTGAATTAAAATTAAAATTTACACTCAATAAGTTATTATTGCATACTGTTTTATAATGTATTACAATGCTGAGGTGCAGATAATTGACACTATTTGCAATAAGTAATTAGCAGAATATCCTGCTATTTGAACTATCTATAGCTATTTGCACTTAGTGTAAATAGCATATCACAAAAAAAAAATACTGCTATTTTCACTTAGTGTAAAAAGCCTCTATCGCACTTATTTAAACTTATTTTCTCCCTGTTCATTATGTCTGTCTCCACTCTCTGGACATGCTTTTCATTTGGACGTCATAGATGGTTCTCATGGTTATGAAAATGTTAGTTATTCACTTTTTCCACAGAACTATAAAAGAGAGTATATTTTCCCAGCCTGATTTGGCATATGTTGTATGAAAAGTCGTGCTACTTCCTAATTATTTCTACCAGAAGCGTCATGCCCACATTTCACATAACACAAAAGGGAGTTATTATGGAAATGTCAAAGCTGATATTTTCCATACAATCTTTTCTGTGAAGTTCAGTTCACTAAAGAAAAAAAATAGTCTGCATTTGAAACTATATCATTTACAATATAAAATGTGTTTTTGTTTTGTTTTGGTTCGTTTTGTTTTACTTCTTTGAAGAAAAAAAAATAGTCTGCATTTGGAATCCGTGTATCATTCGATCATTCGTTTTTTGATTTAATATTGAAAGTGGAAAAATTTGAAAACAGCTCCTTTTCGAGAGCTGAAACGAGAATTCAGCTTAAATTTTCTTTTTTCGCTCAGGGGTAGAAAAATCAACTTGCCATTTCGGTTTGTTTCTCACCAAACCCTCAGTATACTTTCAGAATGCTTGGAATATACGCCACGAGATGCATATGATTATTTTTCACTTTAAGAACCACTGGTCTACACAGAAGAAAGCCCTCTGCCCCAGTACGAGTTGTGTCGAGCTATTTATTAGTCTGTTTGATGACAAAAATATGAAATGTAGTTGCAATAAAATGGGTAATTAATCCATACATACAAAGCAGTGGAGGACTATTATTCTGCTGCGTGATACTGCGGAAGAACTGATGACGGCACGGTTTGATCTTCGGCTGACCAATCAGCAGAAAGGGGCGTTTAATTGCCACCCACGTGTAGAAATCAAATATTCATGCTGTTTATTCATTTTTCTACCCCTGAGCGAAAAAAGAAAATTTAAGCTGAATTCTCTTTTTTCAATTTTTGGAAAAAAAACAAAAAAACGAAAAAGTAGCCGTTTTCTAATTTTTCTACTTTCAATATTAAATCAAAAAACGAATGATTGAATGATACACGGATTATTTGAAACTATATCATTTACAATATAAAATGTGTTTTTGTTTTGTTTTGGTTCGTTTTGTTTTACTTCTTGTTTTGTTTTACTTGTTTTATTTTTGGGTTTTGTTTTTTTGTAGGTTTTGTTTTTGTTTTGATTTGTTTTGTTTTCTGCTTTGTTTATTGGTCTTGCTTTTCCCCAGCCACCATGTGAGGAATTCCACTGGTTTCACCTCAGTTTAAACATATTTATGTTGCACCTCCAATTCCTACATTTACACATTTGACAGATGTCATCAAAATGTATTATCCAATCAGTATATTCATGCAGTCCCTGGCAATCAACCCCATAACCTTGGTGTTTCTAGAGCCGTGCTTTACTTTTTAAGCTACTTTTGTGTAGATTTTTCATATTTTATCTGGCTGGTAGCTTTTTTATGCATTTTTAGGGATGGTTCATGATTACTGATCCTGGAGTGCATGAATGTGGGGATCTGAGACTCTATTTCAGGGTTTAAAGTTAAGACTGTTAATCTGCTCTCTGTCTCTGGTCTAAATCTAGAGGCTACCGTCCCGTGGCACTGGCACACAGAGAATCCAAGAACATATTGAATTACAGTTTACCCAAAATAGTGGGGGGATGTATGTGTGTGTACGCTCACGTGCCCCACCAGGATTTGACAAGAGCCCCCTTAAGATAGATTATGCCACTGAACAGGTCATGTCAAAAGAGCCATGCCTGCAATGCAAAACGAAGCAGACGGCAGCAGGTAGATCTGTTCGTGTGCATGTGTGTGTGCAGGTGCATGTGACTGTAAACGTATGTGCAGGTGTGTGCATTTTGGTATGTATCTGGGTTCCTGCTACTCCTTTATTATCACAATTGCGTCGGTAGCTCTTTTGTTTTCAGTATGTAAATACATGGCACAGATTGCAAAATACTTTGGACTAAATTTGCATTTACATTTATTGTTTAGTTTGTTGTAACATTTTAGATTAATTCTTGACTCAAAAAGTACGCTGTCAGGATCTCATTAAACAAATTTAGGTCACATTTATATGTTATGCCTACCTGTAGGAGTAAGAAATCAGGATTAAAAGCTTCATGTTAATGCATCATATGATGTAATGCTAAACATGAATTGTCTGTATGCAGGACATTGATGTAATTTAGTATCTACGCCAATAGTACTGACCACAGGTGTGGGCATGTGTTGTAAACCAGAAACATTTATCATGAGTCAGATTTTCTTTGATAGTGCGAACAGAATGACACTGGCACAATTTAAGGTGTGGAGATGATAGGAGAGTGTTTTTGTTCAAATTAACACAATAGTTTTTAATTCTCCATGAAGCAAATCGTCATGCTGTCTGTCTCTAAATGTTTTGACATTTCAACACTATTGGATATTTTAACACTTGACTCATACGTCAAGCACTTTGCCCTTTGTTTTTTGTTTTTTTTGTTTTTAACAAAAACTATAATTATTGTTATGTTTAGTTAGGGTGAATCATTTGCACTTTCTTTGGTGAATCATTTGTATGTTTTCCTCGCTTCAGGAAGCTGTACAGTTTCATTTATCTGCCTCTCAAGAATTACCAAAGAAAAACATAGTGATCATTCTTTCATCATAATGTTTCCTGTAGGTGTATCTGTCATGTCTTTCACAGGTCCGCTCATCTGTCATCACAGTTTTTGTAACTTCAATTCTGGATAATTAAGAATAAATGCCATGTGTAACTGATTCTGTTCCAGCAGACATGTTAATGTGGAATTATACACTACCATTCAAGTTTGGGGTCAGAAAGTTTTTCTTTCTGTTTCAAATAAATGCTGGTCTTTTGTAGTTTATATTCATCAAAATATTCTGGAAAAATATTCCACAAAAATACTAAAGAGCAGACTTTAGACTTTAGTAAGTTTTCAACACTGATAATAAGAAATGGTTCTTGAGGGGCAAATCAGCATTGAATGATTTCTGAAGGATCATGAGGCACTGAAGACGCTGAATGGCTGCTGAAAATTCAGTTTTGCCATCACAGGAATAAATTACATTTTATCATATTAAAATAGAAAACAGTCATTTTAAATAGTAAAAATATTTCACAGTATCACTATAGTTTTGATCAAATAAATGCAGCCTTGATGAGCATTAGAGACTTGTTCTTTAAAATGTTAAAAAATCTAACTGGCCCCAAACTTTTGAACAGTAAGTACTGTATGGAAAAAAAATCTGGATTTTTTTTATGTCATATATAAATTCTAAGAGTTACACAGTCACAGTGTGTTTGTTTATAGGCAGTAATGATCTAAGGGAATGTGATTTACTACCATTTCTATCAGTCCATTAATTCAGTTATTAGCAACTTCGTAATAGTTCGATATCTGTGTTTTGTTTTTGTTTTTTTTAGCTCAGTTCACCCATGAATGCAGTCAGTAGTTCGGAGGACATTAAACCCCCTCTGGGTCTGAACGGGGCGATGAAGGTCCCAGCACAGCCCACAGACACATTCCTCTCCCTCACTAAACACATCTGTGCCATTTGTGGAGACCGTTCATCAGGTGACACACACACACACACACACACACACACAAACACACACACACACACACACACACACACACATTGAAGCACACATACCTAGATGATTTTAAAAAAAATTTAATTTGTATCTGTTTCTACAGAACAAAATAGCTAAATTATCACAATAACCTACACTCTAAAAAATATTGTTTGGACGCAACAAAAAAAATTTACGCAACAGTTTGCATCATTTTTTTTGAGTTAAGGCAATTTCTTCTGAAATTAAGTTCAACTAGTAAACTATATTGTGCTAAATATACTTAGAAAATTGTGTTAAAACTAACAATTATTAAGTTAAATACTCATAAAAATTAAGTTGTTCTAAGTTGCTTTTTCACATTGTTTTAAATTTGATTCAATCATGGACACTGGTTACAAAAACTACTAAAATATTATTTTTTGATGAAACAACACTTAATGCTGCCAGGAAACCAATCTTTTAGCATTTTCAACCAAATGCCTTCTGATTGAAACAGCATGTAAGACAATGTCCAGTGAGTCTGTTCTCAACGTAAGCAAACGCTCTACTCTTCAGCACAATGGTAATCTCATAAAAACCACCAACATAACAGAAACACTTTTAAATACTAATATAACTGAACACTGAACATTAATAAATCTTCTCCTGTTCTGATCTTGAATAGAAATGCATAAAATATGAGTTTATTTCTACATTACCGCTCATTATTCAGTCACATGCAAAGCATGCTGGGAACCTGAAACGTGAACTTGAAAAAATGAAGTTATTGAGCTAATTACATTGAGTTAGTACAACTTAAATAATGTTTTAAACTAACACAGATATTTAAGTTGAAGTTACACACAGTATTACGTTGATGTAATTATCAACATTAAGATGTCAGGACAACTCATTCAAAAATTTTTAAAACTTAAAATGTTTAATTAAAAAAATAAATTTGAATTTTTAACTTGCATTAATGCATTCAATTAAGTAGTGGCAACAGATCCACTGAATTATTTTTTAGAGTGTATGAGCAGCATTATTAGTAATAAATAAATAAGTATTTATATTTCCCATTTACTTACCAAATGAAAAAAAGCACACAAAAAAATGAATTTGATTGAAAATAGTATTTATTAGTTTATTATGTGAGAAGAAAGAGCCTGCATATTGATATAAGAGGAACAATACAGTTTAACAGGCATTATACAATACTGTATAACCACAGAATGCTCAAACTGACCAATCCGAATCAAGTATTCCAGAGAGCTGTTTAACTTGTTAAACTGCAGTCATGAAATTGGGCTATATATTCTTTCAGAGTAGTGTGTGAGAAAAACAGATGTGGTGCTGTTGAATTATTGATATTAAATGCCAATTAAAGATAACCCTGCTGGGAAGAATACTAAAGCATGTGTCTGCTGGCAGGTAAACACTACGGGGTGTACAGCTGTGAGGGCTGTAAGGGCTTCTTCAAGAGAACGGTGAGAAAGGATTTGACGTACACTTGCCGAGACAACAAGGACTGTATAATTGACAAACGCCAACGCAACCGCTGCCAGTACTGCCGTTATCAGAAGTGCTTAGCCATGGGAATGAAGAGAGAAGGTGCGTTGCTTCTTTCTTTTAGTGATTGAGCACATTTACATGCACACGCCAATACAAAATGATATCGGAATTTGATCCTATTCTGATTATGGATCGGCCATTAACTCATTAACATGATCAAATAGAGCAAATATTCCAGTGTTTTGACATTATCTTATTCTGAATATCTAATGTTCATTTTTCTCTGCTTATGTCCAAATTAAAAGTAATCAGCAATGCTATGAGACACAGGCAGTTTTGAAAAGTAACACATTTTTGGAAGCGACAGATTCTTTAAAAGAAATAAACATTAATCAATTCTCAGCACAGATGGTTGAAAGCACTAATGGCCTACCATTTGCAGTTCATTGCACTCCTGTGTGCTGTTGTCAAGAAAATGAAGGAGACTGACTAATGTGTTGATTAAATTACACATTTTAAGTCTAGAATCATCTAAAAGTAATTACATTAAATTGCAAGAGATTGTATTTTCATTGTATTTCCACCAGAGAATACTGGGAATAGAATGAACATGTCGTAATTTATTCAGAATACTACATGTATTAGAATATTCCAGTAGCTGGGAAGCATGTAAACTATTTATTTATTTATTAATAGAATACAATTTACACTTATACATTTAGCAGATACTTTTATCCAAAGCAGCTTACAACAAGGAATACAACAAGCGATTTATCATAAAGATGATAAAAGAGTTTTGATGTTCATAATTCTATCCCTCATGTTCTGTTTTTTAAATTGGGGTCCCAGTCAATGATGCATGCGTGAAATGACAATCATTTAAAAATATAAACCTGTCCCTTTAAACTCTTAAAATGTTCTTCTGAAGTAGTTAAAGCCACATAGCCAGAAAAAATGTAAAACTTTATCCTTCTGTTTAACCACAAAGTGGGCATGCGCATTTCAGAAATATGACTAATATTCATTCTAGTAATATGGTTTCCATCCAGGCACCACAAAATAACACACTGTCGAAAAATACACAAATAGAAAACACAGTACACAACCAGCAGCAGTGTGTACACCAGTAAAACAAGTTTAGCATGTGGAAATTGATATTGCATATATTCACAGTTTATATCTAACACAACATAACATGTTGCATTCATGGAGGACAGTTGTTACCAAGTTCTTTGTTTTGTGCTATCAATTTCGTTTGTAATCTGTTCTCAAAAGAGTAGAAAAAAAGGCATGAATAATAAGCCTGATATGAATATGTTAGGTCTATTTTTCAAGCTATTAAAATAGTCTAGAGAACAAGGCTAGACCCCCTATACCGAGGCCTCTGAGAAAGAGGTAACCTGACACACTTCTCCCCCACGAGTCACTCTCTCTGTCTTTCTGTTTCTGAGGACAATAAAGCTAAAATAATTTCCTTGTGCCTCTCTCCTCACCTCTCAGTGACTCCTGGAGTAAAGCTTTATCCTACAGCTGACCTCCACGGCTCCCACTCAAGAATTCCCCTCATGATCTGCTAGCGGTTTCTGTCGAACAGAAAGAGAGTCATAAAAACAAGGCTTTTTACAGACAGAAGGGAAAGCTGAAATGTTCCGCAGCCTGACGGCGAGGCAGACGGGGCTCATTTCCACCAGGTCCAAACCACAGTAGACAGACTGTGTGGTTTAGACCGGGCTCCCCCTCTGAACCAGGCCAAACATGCACACAGTATATGCTGTGTACACAACTCACTAAAATTCACATACACACACACACACAGACCAATACATTGTCAACCTACATAACCAATCGTTTGACCGAGGGACGGTTTTATGGCCCGTGACTTTGTCCGTGGACTGAATAGAAGCACAGAATCATGTTTGCGCTGGATTGCACCCAAATAAAATATACATATTTTAAAGAACCGAATGCATATTACTAATAACGTCACTACAAACGTAGGCTGACCTCCTCAACTTTCAGCCCTCTGAAGTCGGTGAATAATGGTCTGGATGCACATGCAGCTCGATGAAAAACAGCCTGAGCTGTTTTTGTGGAAACGTGTAGATTAAGAGCAAACCAAATGCAGCTGCGTGTTATTGTGTGCAAGGTCACGGTTTTGTTTGTGTATGTAACTGTATTGCACATGTGAGCCGTTCTAATTTTGTTCCTGCACATGTGCAGCCGTTCAGGAGGAGCGACAGCGGGCGAAGGAGCGGAGCGAGGCTGAGTTCGGCAGCTGTGCCAACGAGGACATGCCCGTGGAGAAGATTCTGGAAGCCGAACTGGCAGTGGAACCAAAGACGGAGACCTACGTGGAGGCCAACCTGAGTGCGCCTGCCAATTCTGTAAGCCAATCTCTCCCTCTAAATCACACTCGGTGACATTCAACTTATGGAGAACATTTGGCTCATCTGAAATGTGCCGTTTCAGAGTTACACTTCACAATTGCTCCTCAGTGAGCGAGCCGGGCTTGATCATTTTCTGAATGTCAAGTCTGAAGAAAGGTTCCAGCCTGCCTGCAGATGTACAAAAAGACAGTTTTAAGAGTTTTGCAGCTGTCCAAGAAAGAGTCAGATGCAGATTTGAGTATTTCTGTTTGTGAATAAGAAGGGCTATTTTTACAATCCCACTCCTGGTGGATGGATTCAGCTACATAGCAATGCACTTTGGCATTGAAGGCCTCTATACAGACCCCTGGAGAGGGGACATACTGCAGAAGAAGCACATTGTCACGTCACTGGATAAGAGCTTCAGCCATTAAGCATGTCAGTTAGACACACGAAGGCTAGCGTTGTATGTATATTTATGCCTTGTGCACATTTGTCCTCTGTTTTGTGCAGCTGTAAGCTCTAAATCAGGTAGAGGTCATGGAGAAAGAGGCACATGCTTTGTCTTCCCTACTTTGTATTTTCAGATTGTTTGTTTCCCCCACAGTTGTTTTTTTAATGGCTGTTTGTACATTTGTCCTTGAGCCCTGGGGAAGGTCCTGATACATGAATAGGGCTCTAATGAATTTGAGTTCCTCTTGGGCTGATTGGAGAACTGTTAAGACATGATGATCTGAACTGAAAGCTGTAGATTAAGAGACTTTCGAGAAAGATGTATATCTTCTCGTTATGATATTTCAGTCTGTGGGTGATGTGAACTCATGGAGACACTTGATAAAGAAGTGCACTTAAAGGGATGAAAATTCTTTCATCATTTACTCACCCTCATGTCGTTCCAAACGTGTATGACTTTCTTTTTTTCTGCTGAACACAAATAAATATATTTTAAAGAATGTTAGGTTAGTATATTTTTAGTTCTAGCATGACAACTCTCAGAAGATTTTATCATGGTAATGAATATGACAATGTTAATGTATTTGATCTTAACGGAATTAGTGCTTTGCTACGCTGTTGCTGCTGCTGTTGGTTATTGCATTTGTTGTAGATTATTGCTGCTGCAAAGTGCTGTGAGTATTTAAGACATACTGCTGCTGCACAAATAGCATATATAATAACCCGTAGCAGATCTATACAGGTGGAGCTGGGGAAGGTGGAGGGTTTCAGAGGAACTATGAAACTAGCCA